ACAGCAAGGCCAGAAGCTAAAGAAAGAATGGCAAAAGAAAGGTGTGTGCCCCAGTGTAATTTTCTTGGTGATGTTATAAGCCCTGACAGACCCTGAAACCTCCAAAGAGAAGAGGCTTGAAGTGGAAGAGGCAATGCCAGCAGAAGCTGAATGCAGGCAGAGAGGTAGATAGAGGACAAACATGAACTCTGTTCTGCTTAAGTACAGCCTCTGATAATTAGGCCAAACAGTCTTCCCAATTGTACCCACAGTCTCTGCCTCCTTCAGCACTAATCCTTTATCCAGCCTATATTGTCTGTCCTACTGTAGCCCATCAGTTCTTTGCTTATCTCTTCCTGTGTTTTCACCCTCTCTTCTCTCCCATCCTTTTCCTCTGAAAAAATATTTTGTAGGCTACAATTAGTTCGCTTGGCTGAAGTCTTGTTGGGCATAGCAGGAAGTTTTCTGGATCACTCATGGGTGGAGTTTCCCAAAATCATCAATTTGTTATTAATGTATAAACAATGGGCCTGCCAAACCCTGAATAGCATGAGGCAACCTCAAAATGTGGTACCTCCTCACAGATTTCTCTCATGGGTTACCTAACACAGCACAGACACCAAGACCTCCCCAGTCACACAGCAAAAATGAGCATGGGCATAACCTCAGCACATGCTGGGCGGAATCTGCCTCATGTTCACTTGTTTCTTTTGCTCGGCCTGAAGCACTGGTACTGATACTGTCTGGTAGATGCCTGTTCAAGTAGCCATGAGGAGCCATGATGGATACACAGAAGTGCAGGTGCATTTTCAGTTGCTCATTTCTGCCAGCTGTCATGGGATAAGGAGCTGTGTAACAACAACATTGTTTGCAGCAGCTATGGGATCGAGTTTGAATCAGTACATTGTCTGCAAGAGGATTTTAAGTAAATAATACAGTTGATCAGCACTAATATGGCTTGATATACAGAATCACCTCACTCATTTGGGAGCCCTTGCTCCTGGTTAGGAAGGCGGTGGGCAAGAGTTCCTACAATTATTTCAACCACAGAGTAGGAGTGCCACAAAGAGCCCTCATTTCCTGCATTTCTTTTTCAAAGAGGCCATTCCCACAAATTTCATATCTGAATGGAATTGTCCATGCTAGGTATCCTTCCAGGATCTGAAGAAACAGATAAAATGTGACCTCCTCCCCGCTGCCCTTTGGATGTTTGCTGGAGACCTTCTGGCACCAGAAAGCATACAGACAGCTGATGGGAGCAAACCAGTGTAGGAGACATTTCTTCTGAAAACATAGGCGGGCCACTCAGTGAAAGCTATAACAGAGAATGACCCAGGCCAGAAGAAATGTGGATGCAGTGGGATCAAGACTAGCTCAGCATGGGCACTGAGGCTGGGGTGAGAGAAGAGAACCACTGAGTGGATGGGGATGGTATAAGACAACAAGGAGTTTGAAGCAAGACTGAAGAGATTTGTAATGCTGGGAAAAGTCAAGCTTGGGACAGCAGGAAGAAATTACCCTTGTCCATTAGGCCCTGTTTCCTACCAGTTTGCGGAACAGCCTCTTGCTCAATTAAATGACTGTTGAGCCACTTGCTCGGCATCTTCCCCAACTGTGCACTTTCCCTATGGCACAAGTGGTAACACCCTGCTAGTGCAGTTGGTTGCTTCACCTGCTCCAGAGGCAAACATCAATGTGGTTAACTTGTAAAACACCAAGAAAATGCACAGAGAAAACTATCTGGAGGTCTGAGTTAAAATCATTTTACTAAGGCAGCTCTTGAGAATTGAATTTTATCTCTGCATCTGTATCATCAGCCTGGCAGCTGTACTCTGTGTAGGAAGCAGTGGGATGGAGATCTGAAAAAGGCTGGCAAGGAGGGGGTGTAAAACCCAAAACCTGGAGACTGTGAAGTTATAAGCAAATGGTTTGAATTCTTGGTTGAGATGTGAGAGATGCTACAGGGGAGAAAGCAACAGAATTAGAAGCAAGAGACAGTGAAAAGCAGTGCTATGGTTATAGATCCAGTCAATAGCTTTTGTGTCAATAGGAAGATGAAGAGGTGAGGGAAGAGCCTTTAGAGGGAAGGAATTAGTTCTGCATTAAAACTGTGAGAAGCAGAAATGTGAAAAGCTGCAGATGAGGTTGCATGCTATCCTGCCTGGGAAAAGGGTTCTGCTGTCTATCTAACCATGGGTTTATGAACCATAGCTCATGTTTATTTGTTGCTCTTCCTATTCGATTTTATGATGGTGAGTGCATCCTTTTGCATTTTTTAAATCAATGTGATGCTTGCAGATTGATTTGCCACACTAACATCCTCTCTTGATCCATTCAGCCTCTAATGAACAGCTCATGCTGACTTCCTCTCATGTGTTCATGACCCCGCTGACTCCAAGGCATTTTCCAGCCTCCTGAATACCCTGCGGCACTTTTCCCTTGCTCCCTTCTTGCTGGTGGCACTGAGCAGGTATCACTTTGGCTGCTGTGCCTGCTGCTCTGCCTGTTGAAAGCAGGAAGTCCCACTCTCCAGCTAGATGCTTCCCCACATGTATCCATCAAGCACTGGAGGCTCTGTGCCATGGAAAGGCAGCGAGCTAGGCACAGCATCATCAGGGAGCCCAAAACGTTTGATCTCCGACAAAGCCCAGCACTGCCACTGAGAACACTTTACTTCAAGCTGTGTCTGCTGCTTCCCCAGTTTGTCTTCACCTGAAATCCCTGGCTGTATGGCGAGGGGAGACCGGGTTTGCTTTCCAGGGTACAGCAAGGGTTTGGAGCAGCAGCCTCAGGTAGGTGCAGGGGCAGAAATAAAGGAAACCTGCTCAGTGAACTAGAAATTCCCACACTCTGTTGTCAAACATGCTTGTTCACTGGTGTGGAAAAGGGAAGCTGAGGAGAAAAGAAATGAATTAGAAAGCATTTTAATTGGGATTACAGGCATATGGTGTGCTGCCATTTGTTTTCCCCTTCCTGCTCTGCAGTGGGGCTCTACCTTCACACATTTGCCTTTATTTGTCATGTCAAAAGGGGAGACAGCAAGCGTCTTTTTCCTCCCTCCTCTCTGGGGCCATGCTAGCAGCACTCCTTTCACCCCGAGCTTTGCCAAAGGGACAGTTGTGATTCTCAGCAAAGGTGTGGCCAGGTTGCAACAGCAGATTAAGCAGCTCCAATTTATTTTTATCCAACTTTACAGCTGTTGTTGGAGGGCCTTTGCTATTTCCCAGCAGCAGAAAGGGATGGATTCAAGGGGAGAGAGGGGACGTGATGTCCGCAGTACCACAGACACATAATTCACCAGCAGATGGATTGTTAGGTTTTATTGTTATGATAGTATATTTAGTGTTTTGTAAAAAGCTACTTAGGGAGCTGTTTCCCTTGTTGTACAGCAGTTTGTTAGCTGTAAGATTCAGACATAAGCCTTTAATTATGCCTAGCGTCTCTGCAAATGCAATTTCAGTTCTCTCCCCTGCCTCACGCAGCATCTTGGGATGCTCTGCATTTGAATGTGAGCAAGCTATTGTTTAACATGGCTTTAAATCATTACAGAAATGTTGTGTAGCATCCACTGGGAAAGCCTGCTCCCATCTGCCCTCTTCATTTCTCACAGTTGCTTTGGGAACCAGGGCCAGTAATCACAGAAATTCTGTTTAAAGGTCAAGTGCAGAGTAGCGTTATCTTCACACAGTGTGCAAGCTAATAACAGGTGAAGGTGTTGCTCAGAAACATTTAAAGAGGAATGTAAAGCTTAAGTACCTTTCACAGCCTTCACATAAGCGGCTTTCCATTCATTTCCCAAAACTGTATATGACACAGTATAGGCCTTGCATGGGACTTAGAAGTTAATGCCCACTTAAAATAAAATGTCTCTGCATGGTTAAGCCAAACTGAACCTCTCCTGCCTCCCCTGACATAAACCCTCTCAGTAGCCTTCAGTCAGCTCAGTGCCGTGGCATCCCAGCCTGACCTTAACTCTGAGCCTGCAGCTCCTGAATAAAAGTACAGCTTCTATTTTTCTTCTGAGAAATATGTATTTTTTAATATGGCTTAGACTTGCAGGAGTATAAAAGTATATAAAAGTTGCCTAATGTTATGCAGTATATCCTACATTTGATGCTCCTTTTGTCCCAGAGTTTCTGTTTCAAATAATGATGAAAAAAGTTGTATTAAATTTACATCAAAGGAAAGTTGGAGAAGCAGAAACATGAATAACAAACACATGCATAATGTGATTCTGAACAAAGAAACCTGTGCCGTCAGTGCAGGGATAGGCCACGTGGGAACACATGTATGTCATTGCAGCATATTGCTAACACATGTGGGGGTCACACAGATACGTCTGGGGGCAGCTGAGATCCCTGTTTGAAGGTAAATTTGATAGAATCTGGTTCGTAGGTACTGTGGCAATGACTGCATTTTACATCTTTATAGAGTGGTTACCACAGTCCTTTATGTGTTATCGTGTAGAGGTTTCCATAAACAGGGTGTGCCAAAGGGAAGGTATAAAGAATACATAAATAGTCAGTGTAAAGATTCACTGGGATGAAAAATTACAGATGACAATGATGTTCTGAAAGTAGTTCATACACCTCTTTAAAATGAAGGAAAACAACAACAAAATCATGAAATTGTAAGGAATCTTGCCCACCCAGACCTCAGAGCTCCAAAGCAGGTTTTTAGCAGCTTGCTAAATTACCAGCTTCTCCAGTGGAACACAGAGCACAGCCAAGGGGCCATGGCTTTGCATAGAAGTGAGGATGCATTTGCCCAGAGCAACTGTAAGGCTCTGGATTCAGGATCTTAGTTCAGAGCTCTTCAGCAGGAGCTGAGGACATGCAAGTCTTTTGCAAAGGTAATTCAGACTGTTCTGGAAGTGATTTAGCATTCTATACTCGTTACGCAGAAACAGGCATTCTTGACATTTGTTCGCAATACTCCTGGTTTGGTTTCACCAGGTATTTGTAATCTTGAGCAGACAGTGTCTATTATTCTGAATGCATTCCTGCTTTCCTTATTAGCAGCTCTGGCCGCTGTTCTGCTGTCCTTCATGTCACCCTGGAACTGAGGCAGCACTCCACTGACTGGCTGGTCTTTATCACCAGATTTTCCAAATGCTCAGCACCCGTAACACTGCAGCGGATTTTCAGGAGCAGGCAGCCATCAGCTATGGTAATTATAGTGAGGGCCAAATTCTCAACAGCGCTTAGCATTTTGCCCCAAATCTGGTCCCAGGCGTGGATACACAGTGCTTTCCTGCAGAAATCACAGCCCCAAGTTTGGGAGTCACCTAATTCTGTGCCCCACAGAGGAGTCCCAGCTGGGAAGTGTGTGGTCAGGATGAAGGTGGGAGGTAGGTGCCTTTCACACACGGTAATGCTGGTTTATGACGCATGGGGTGCCACAGGACAGAAAAAATGAGAATCCAACTATTACAGAATGATAGTTATGAACAGGAGGAATCCGTAAATACAATATGCATTTTATGTTAATAAAATCATGTGACTGGCCCAATGCATATAGGGTTTGATGTGAAATAGCCACTTAAGTTTTGGCACATTATAGCTAAACATACTGGAGCAGGTCTTTAAACCTCGGGCCCCTAAATTGCTCTTAATGAATCTCCAAAAAGTACCTAACGAAACCAAGATTTAGATGCTAAGATCTTAAATTTCCATCTATATTACTACTGAAAGATGCTTAGAGCTGCACAAATTCAAAACAGTTGGGAAAAAAAAATCACTGAAACAGAATTATAATCAACCTTAAAATAGTAGTTTTCAAGACAGTAATGAATAAAGGCAGTTGTAAAAGTAGGTTTTTTGAACTTCTGCCTCACCAAAGGCAAAGCCAAGGGTAAAATAATGAAATCACTGAATGCAGGATTAGGGTTATCTAAGGGCCTCTGTCCCTTCTAATTGACCCTTGAAAACTATCCTGCCTATTTTGGGAGCAGAGTAAATGAAGGCAGCTCACCAGTTCTGAGACTAATACAAACAAATGTTAAACAGACGAAAAAGAAACCCCAACGGAGCAAACAAAGAAAAAGTCCCCGAGCCAAAACCAAGCAAGCAACCAAAGACCCCTGCCAGTCCCTCAAGGTAGGCAAGGTCGCTCCTGATTGACAGGCAGGTGAAGCTGCTCCAGGTCAGATGTGATGCGGAAAGCCATGACAACACAGTGACGGACCACTCTGGCACGTGGGGCTCGGTTTGAGTACAAGCCCTTACTCCTCAGCTGTATTTCAGTGCTTTGCTATCATGGCCCAGGCTGCCATCCCCCAGCTGTACAGAAACTGCGCTCACAGTGTACCTGAATGCTTGCACAGCACCCCACCGCATGGCAGTTGCTGGAGCTCTGCCCTGCCAAGGTCAGTGGGAATTTCTGTCACTGACTTTGGAGCAGGCAGGATTTCCCCCCATGGACACACACACCTCCTCCCGGATGCATGTGCATATGAGTGTTTGTGTATATACATAAGCTTTACAGTACAAAGTACTTACAGGAAGGCATCTTCTCTCTTTAAACATTTTACTTCAACTTCACGTTGTGTGAAGTCAGACCCTAACTGTCACAGCTGCAGTTTCTCACAGCTTAATGGCATTACAAACCCTTCTTGCTCCGGACTGCTGCAATAACAATCAGGCTGGGAGGAAGGGGAAATGAGCAGTGTAGCACACGCTGTACCTTCCAGCCACCAGCTATTGTTAAGAGCACACTGCTCCAGACAGAGTGGCAGCGAGGCACAGGGTGGGAAGCAGGTGTAACCTGCCAGGAACACCAGTCTATCAACAGTTGACTTAATTCAAACAAGTACCACTACTTCTGAGCTGCCTCTTGCCACCAAGCTGAAAGAGGTTTTACATTCCTGTTGCTCAACACTTGAAAGTTTAACAAATGCCTTTATGGCAAACCAAGAGGTCATTTTCTCATGTCGGCACTTTGGTCATTCATCTGCAGAGTCACCAACCATAACATAGCATTTCACCTGCAACAGTTTGCTCTAGGAGGCATGTTTCCAGATGCTTTGCTATGGTTTGGGTTCTTTACAGAACTGCAATCTCTCCTCCTTGCTTGTCCTGCTTGTCCAGCTTGTTCTTCTCCCATTCTCTTCAGAAAGTCCCACTAGCAAAGGCTGCCCAGGCCCGATGGAGTACTTTGCTCAAGCCAGTTCTACACAGGCACAACTGGCCAGGTTTGGACTGCTGCTGAGTCGTCCAAGCCCAATTCAATTACCTCACCCCCTAAATTCAATCACACTGTGGTGCTAGAGAACTAGTCTGCACCTGCTGAGCACCTGTGCTGTTCTGGGACACCCTCTAGGATGGTTTATAAACGTCAGTGTGATAGTCCTTGCCAATGTGCTTGAAGCCAGTAGCTCACGTTCAAACCCCTTCTTTGCCTTAGTGTGAGTTACTGTCCTGCACTGCAATATGAAAGCCTATTTGGATCAGGTTTTAGTTCACGGTGCTCTTGATCTGCAGCCTTTATTAATACCTTGTTTTTAGATACCTACTTCTGTTTGCTGAGCACTCACACACCATGCAGTGCAATATAAATGAGCGTGTTCTGCCCTACTGCCACACCATAAACAAGCATGATCAAAGAACATCACGTCTATGCCTGGTACTATCCATTAGGACATTACCTCTGCTCCTTTTCCTCCACTGAGGCCTGGAAATGAAGCACTGCCTCATATACACCCCACTCATGAAATGCCTTCCCTGGCTAGCTGTTCCCTGTCCAGGATTATCCATCAGCTTAAATTACCTTGCTTGGTAAGGTAATCACTGGACCATAAGAAATCCTGGCATTTTCTGTCCCTTACTAAGCATCTTCTCTACTTGTGCCTTACATTTCTCTTCTTCGTATAGTTATTGGTGCTATTTTACCACCCAATCATTTTAGGGAAAGAGAATCCACCCCTGTCTTCTCCTCCCCCTCATTCAGCCGCTTTCAACTCCAGTTGGACTCTGCTTGGTTTTCTTCAGGAGTTAGCTTCCAGCTTCCTCAGCTGCCCTTGCATCACATCCAAACAGGGTGACGCTGCCCTGTTCCTGGTAACTTGGTTTATTTGGGTGATGCTGGGAAAAAAAAAAATGGAAAATAACCCTCAGAAGTAGTGTTTCCCCCAAGGAAAATTCTCTTCTTTAAATAGTCCATTTGCATTTGGGAGGAAAAATACAATTTTAATCTCATTAACACACGATTCCCCAGTCATCTGCACTTCTGAGCTCTGTAGCTATTTTATCTTCGCTCCTAATACATGTGATTTAACCTGGAGCTATGATGTATAGATTCAGACTAAAAAAAGGAGTGGAAAGTCTGTCTCCACTTCGGCTTTTTTTCACACAGCAGCAACACTGGACAACAATGACTTGCAAGCAGTTTTGCACTGAACAAAATACATCTGTCCCTGCACTGGAATGGAGACATCTGTCTGTGCCCCGAGAGCTGCTGTTGTCTCCTCATCTATCACTTCCCACTTGTGGCATCACTGCATCTAGTCAACAGTAACTCGCCGTCTGCACTGCCAAGAAACTTTGCAAACGTTCTGAATTTCACACCAGGAAAGGCCATAAGATGCATTTTGTATGTCAAATGCCTCAGAAACTGTTTCTGTACTACTTTAAACCAAAATACATACAGTTCTATGTCGTTCGTTGTGGTTCTTTTTTGCTGTGTTGTTTTTGAGTACTGCTATAATGTACCCTAATAAATCATTTCACATTTTGCTTTGCACCTTTCAGCATTGCACTGCTTATGTCTGATTAAGAAATTAAATGGGAAGGGGTAAGAAGCCATATGGGACTGGGCTGGCACAGTCCAGGCCACAGCATGTAAACTCAGTGATGTAAAGTCCAGTCTCCTGTGTACTGTAAGTGTGCTTGTAAGAATAACAAACTTGCCTAATTCTTACAGAGGTATAATGACACCAGCCAGTCTCCCTAAGTCTGTTTCTATCCCAGTGTTGGGTCTGCTGAACCATCTGGGGGACATTGGAACGATGGCTCAAACCAGCTGGGATTCCTGGCTCAGGGGAAGCAAGCGCCACACAGATATGCCTGTATTGCTTCCCCAGAGCCAGATGAAGCAAGAAGTAAAATGGCTGTGTCCCTGCAGAGCTAAGCCCAAACCCATCAGCTCTACACAGAGCTGGCTATGACACAAGTGCCTGACCTTCCAACAGGGAAGCGGCTGGGACATGGGGCAGAGAAACCCAAGCTGTTTCCACTGTGGCTATGTTGGAGCATGAAACCTACACTGAGGGCAAGCTCTTCTTCAAGCCATTGAAGTGTCAGCGCGCTGCACTACCAGCCCAGCTACTGGAGGATTTATTATCTGGAGTGGAGGACCTGCCTGGGTAGCACTCGCTCACTGTCGCTGCATGCAACACATCCCTTCAGAAACCAGAGTGCTGGGAAGGTAACATGGTGATGCCTTGAACTCTCTGTGAGAATTAGGAAAAGTTGTTCCTGTGTTGTCTGTATTCTTTCCATTACCAGGAGTAGCCAACCTCCAGTGAAGGAAATCCACATCATTTTGTAATGTTAGGAAAACAGACACTTAACTACAATAACCCCTGCACTGCCTACTCCACCATTATGCCCTGCAATTCAGGTATATCTGATCATAGATGACATGTATCACTGGAGAGATGCTTGCCCACAGCTCTCATCTTCACAGTATTTCTTTTTCAACTCCTTGTGCTAAATAGGAAGCTTCAGCACTGGGCTTACTAAAAGCACTCACGTCTTTGTTGTGTTCTGTTCCCAGAAGTCAATGATTACTTCAGAGGGAGCAGTGATTCCGGTGCTGACTGTCTCTGGCAGCCCTTCCTCACGGAATATTTTAAGAACCTAAATGGCCAAAAAAATCAAATTTGACTTTTAAAAAATCAAATTATCTAAAATAATAAAAGGAAGTTATCAACTAACATCTTGCTCTGAAGCACTGTTTATAAAGATCAATAAAACATTTACATATTTCACAAATGAATTTCTGATGGGATTTCTAATTTGTAAGAAAATTTGTCACTAGTGTAGCTTGTCTAAATTGAAAGGAAAATGAATTTCAACATACTTAAAATCCCCCCAAAGTGGAAATTCCCGGTTCTAATCTACTCTGAAGAACACTAAGAACATTTCATATTTTTATGGCAGCAGATCAGAATGGCAGCATTCCTTTCTTCCATATGGCACGGATGATGCAAAATAATATCGACTCAGAAGAAAAAATAATCTGTGACTAGTTGGAATACAATGAAAAGAGCTTTGTTGAAATGGTCTTTTCAGAGCATCATCCCTCATAGCTCAGAACCTCACAGCGCGAGTTTGGCATAAACTGTGCTATGCCAAACTTCCGCCTTCAATGCTTCAAACTTCAGGCTTGCTTCTGCACTGCTGTCAGCCAGAGGTGCAGAATTTGCCCCTGGGCAACCTGCTCTGGCTGACCTTGTTCTTAGCAGGGGGCTTGGACTGGATAGTCTCCAGAGGTCCCTGTCAGATTTGGCCTACTGCTTAAACAGCCTCTTTTCCCCAAACCTTAATCACAGCTTACCTCCCCTTTGCTCTCTTCCCCGCTCGCCTTCTCTCCAGAATCCACTTCTCTGCACCTAGCTCAGGGAATGGTGGTGGCCACCAGTGTCCACTGACAGGGATGCCAGCATCAGGCTGCACCCCTCCACGCCCAGCATGACCTTCATGCTGCCTGGCTGGTGCTTGCAAACGGCAGCATCCCCCTGCGGAGGGGGTGGTGGTGTGCAGAGGCTGTGACTGCACTCCCCAAACAGTGAGCTTTTTGCAGCAAAATGGCTGGTCCAAATGGCCTTTTTTGCCAGTGAAGAAGGTCTGTGCTTCCAGGGCTCTGCAGGTGCAAGCGTGGCAGCCACTGAGGGAGCACTACTGAACCAAGCCACAGACCCCACTGGGCAGCACCAGAATAGCCAGTTACTTCATGGCCTATGAAAGAGGGAATGGCCTAAAAGTTACCCTGCACTATTAGCATCAGTCCAAGAGGCTGAGGTGAAAATTCATTCGCAAGAGGATTTTCGCATTAAAATGTCCTGAAATGCAAATGCAAAAGAAAAAAGGCTCATGAGATCCACTGTTCAAATAGTGACAAACAGCAGCCACTGTCTCGGAAGACAGAACTATGTAAAAAAAATATTTGTACAAATCTAAGCAGCTGCCCTGAGCTCACCATTTTTAACACAAATGAGACATCTTTTTGCCATGTTAGACCTCCAGAGATGCTGCTTCTGGTGTGCTCCTTTGTCAATTTGTGAGATGAATCTGGGACCTGGGACATCTCACCCAATCTGTATTCATTTTATGGCTGAGTTTAAAGCGTCTCTTGCTTATAGAGAAGGAACTAACTTCGTATTTTTCTCCCAATGATGTATTTAAGTACCCTGCACACCTATTTTACAATCTTTTTTAAATCAAGCTGTCACTGCCTTGACATGGCTACTTAGAATTAATTTTTCTTAGAACAATATAAACGGCATCATGTCTTTGCTTGTCCAAGGAGGGCAAGAACATCTTGTAAGCATAAAATTCCCAAGATCCTCCCACAGACATGGTTATCTACACCCTACAAGCAGTTTTTTGTGTTCTGCATTCACAGTGGGTTTGGAAGTTTATAGAGGCAAACCAAAGTGTGCAGCGATAGCGGTTTGTCTCCCTATGAGCATGCATGTGAGGATCAGATAATTAGGTAACCAGTGGACTAAGCATCTGGTATTTCTATCCATCTTGATGAGATAAAGAAATAATTCAGTTTGAATTCCATTTCTGGGAAATTGGAGACTTCTCTGATCATAGAGTCCACTATGTAGTTCGTACTCTCAGGTTTTACAGTGCTGAAGGGTGCTGCAGGCCACGGAGAAGTATTTGATTTATGGGGCAATTACATACTTAAACAGTAGGAAATCACCTTGCATTTATACTAAAGCAAAGAAAAAATGCCATATGCATTATGCAATAAAAAAGTGAATGAATAAAAGCCCATACCCAAAGTACTGGGCTCCCTGAGAAGGCTGTTTCAAAACCGAGTGGTGCAAGTAAACTGATCACAAATCAAAGCTGCTGACTGGGAAGTGTTTTGCTTCAGATGCAGGGACTGAAAA